ATTCCACTGCGACCTGGCTGGATTTAGAATTCGTGCGCATCCAAAAAAAAATATTCCGAGCTCCTTACTCCTTATACTTCACTTGCTCTCCAGTCTAAGTTTCAGCAATAGAGAGACGAGTACGCCATGAAACAATATAAACAAACCATTTAAGCAAGTCAAAAATTCTACTTCTTTCAACGCGACCATGGAGGCGCGCAAACAGTGGATTAATCAGAAAAAGTCTGTGCATTCACTCAAATGCTGAGAAAGTCCAGGTGCCCAGAAGCCCAGAACCCTGAATTCAATCTCACAAATTCTTACTACTACGTTAAGGTTGGCGGTAATCGAATTAAAGGGTTTAGATATATTTAATTCATTTCAGAAATCTTCATGGTCTTTCTTCTGCGTCTGTGATGGAAACGTCCCACAGCAATCTGAGCGGGATCGTTCCGCAGGCCATAGAATCAGATGTGAACCCAGTGCGGTCGTGATCCGCGTGTCATGAAATCGGTTCACTATGACTCATTTGTAAGGCATAAAGATGACGGGAGCTTTCCCACTCATTTCGTTATTTTCACATAAGGGCTACCATATGAAAGCCCGTTGAAGGAGGCCTAGGGTAGAAAGGGGGAGGAGTGAAGGATCATAACAAAAGCGACGGAACGAGCTCGAGTACGATGACGAATTACGAGGAGCAAAGTTGAGAACAACCAACAGAACGAGGTTTGGAATACTATGGCTACTCCTTCTAAGGGACTCAGGGACTCTAATTTTCCCTCCTGTAGTTGAACGTCCATGACGGCTCCCTTCGTTCAATTTGTGCAAGCCTAAGATTGAGAGCATTCCTTTTCTACGCCTAAGATTTCCTAGCTTTATTTGAGGCCGAACCTGGTAAGCTAATCTTGCGCTATGTACTTCCTGAGAGCCCTCTTTCTCAACGCCGTCGCCATATCACGGGCCGACCCTGGCGTGTTCTTCCTAAGTTGAAGTCATAAAGTGTCAACAGCCGAAAATTGCGATTCTTCAGTCTAAAAAGGGCTTGAATGTCGGAAGTGTCTGAAAACCTCGAACCTCCGCATGGAAATGGAACAGGTGACTATACTCCAGGAGAAAACACCCAAATTGGTTGAACAATAGTGGAAGGAAGAAACTCCCAAAAAGCAGGGAAATACATGGGTGCAAAGAGGGGCACATTTTTGACCAGCCTGATATTTGTGCCCGCCGTACCTTACTTCCCTAAAAATGGTGCCGAACCTGACGGAGCAAACGATAGTACAAGGACTAAGCACTGGTATGCCCGCAAGCAAACTTAGGGCTATAGTAGACGTTGATGTGACCCCAAACGCAGCGAATGGAAACATGGGGGTGCGTGACGGCGCAACAGAGAGACTGAGCAGTATCAACACTTACTTTCTAAAAACACCGATGAAGAGCCTGGTGCATAGACATATTTAACATAGCACACTGTAATTAACACAGACCCTCACCTTTTCGGCTTGCTGATTGTGGTGCATTGGCTGCAGGAAGGCTGGTTGCTGCTAGTGCTGTGAACGAATCATCGCTTCTCATTTAGCTGCCACTTCATACCACCGCGGAGCAAACCACAAGCGCACGGATGCAGCTGGCAACAAAATTAGCATGCTCGCTCCCGACCCCGCCGTTCTCGGCTGTGTCTGGGTGACTACGCTGTGGTATGCATAATTAGGTTTATTCCGAAACAAATGCATGCGCAATGTTATGGCCGGCTTTGTCACAAGCACGCAATGGAGCAATCAGAAGCGGAAGAGTGCATCGTGATGCTCGCTGCAGAAACCTCGGGTCAGATCTTGCGACCACT